CTGGGACCACAGGCACCTGCCACAAAGCTTGGCTATTTTTTTTAACTGCATTTTGGCTGGGGCCAGGCTTGAACCTGCTACCCTCAGTATATGAGGCCGGTGCCCTACTCACTGAGCCACAGGCGCCACCCAGAGTTTTTGGAATGTTATTACAAAGCAAAATTGAAGAGGAAAGCATTATTGAGCATTGTAGGAAGGTGGAACTACACGGTGGGGCTGTGGTCAGTATGAGGGTGTTTAGATATTTTCTAGCTTTTCTAGGCGTAGTTTTATCAAGTTGTGATTTAATTGGATGTCTTTTCTTTTTTTAATCTTGTCTTTATCTGTTAACTTGAAGGCCCCTTGGAGCTGTAACCATCCTTGCAGGTTTGAATACAAGTGTCATTGACGGAATAACCACCCTGCATATGTGGTCTCCACTGGGAGCCCCAGGAGGTGCTTCCAATTTTCCCCAAGCATAGTTTGTGCTGGGATTAACATCTGTATGTGCAGGCTGGGCGTGGTGGCTCACACTGACAGTCCTAGCACTTTGGGAGGCCAAGACAGGAGGATTGCTCAAGTAAACACAAGACCCCATCTGTACTAAAAAATAGCTGGGCGTTGTGGCAGGCGCCTTTAGTCCCAGTTACTTAGGAGGCTGAGGCAGGAGGATCACTTAAGCCTAAGAGTTTGAGGTTGCTGTGAGCTATGACACCATAGCACTCTACCCAGGGCAACAAAGAGTCTCAAAAAAAAAAAAATCTTTATGTGTAAAGCTGTTCCTGAATTTCAGATGAATACTCTGAAGTGGAATTTCAAAGGAAAGGATATAAACAGTTAACAAGAGGATCATCACTTTTTAGATTTTTTTTTGTTTTTGAGACAGAGTTTCACATTGTTGCCACAATGCCTGGTTATTTTTAGAGACTGGGTCTCGCTCTGGCTAAGGCTGGTCTCGAACCTGTGAGCTCAGGTACTCCACCTGCCTTGGCCTCCCAGAGTGCTAGGATTACAGGAGGAGCCACTGTGCCCAGCCCTTTTTTTAGATTCTAGAAGCAGTATGTTTACTGTGGACAACTGAAACCTATACAGAAAAGAGACATCAAATCATTCACATTCCCACCAGCAGAAGTAACCATAACTGGCATTTGTCTATATTTCAGTGTAGATTTTTTTTGAGTGGATACACATACATTTGTACTTACTGCAATTCATTACCCAAGTGGGACTGGAAGTGTCCCATTAGGCAGGAAGCACGTGAGTTTCCTCCCATCTAAACAGTAGCTTCAAACTCTCCTGTAATAATCGATGGAAAATGCTCCACTGTATGGGTGGAGCATCATTCACTTAACTGTTCTTGTTTGTCAAAGTATTTCCCTGGTGGGAACAACTCTTAAGCTCTTGTTTCACCAAAAATAGATTATTTTTAATTGGTTTTAAAAAGTTGACAAAAGCGGGTGGCACCTGTGGCTCACTGAGTAGGGCGCTGGCCCCATATACCGAGGGTGGGGAGTTCAAACCCAGCCCCAGCCAAACCTGAATAAAAAAATAGCTGGGCGTTGTGGCAGGTGCCTGTAGTCCCAGCTCCTCAGGAGGCTGAGGCAAGAGAATCACCTAAGCCCAAGAGCTCGAGGTTGCTATGAGCAGTGTGATGCTGCCATGGCACTCTACTGAGGGCGAGAAAGTGAAACTCTGTCTCAAAAAAAAGGTTGACAAAAGCAGAACATAATTCATGGGAAAAAAAGCTCACAATCCATAGCGAATATGTGAAATAGGAGTCCATGCTGCCAGGGGTTTTGTGTGTACCTTTCCAAGTGGTTTTTTTTTTTTTTTTTTTTTTTTGAGATAGAGTCTCCCTATGTCATCCTTGGTAGAGTGCTGGGGCATCACAGCTCACAGTAACCTTAAACTCTTGGGCTTAAGTGATTCTCTTGCCTCAGCCTCCCAAGTGGCTGGGACTATAGGCGCCCGCCACAATGCCTGGCTATTTTTTGGTTGTAATTGTCATTGTTTGGCAGCCCCGGGATGGGTTCCAACCCACAAGCTCTGGTGTGGGTGGCTGGCACCCTAGCTGCTGAGCTACAGGCACCGAGCTTTCCCAAGTGTTTTGTCTCCGTGTGCACACAGTGCACACACACTGGTTGTTTATAAGCCAAGAAAGAGTTTATTGTGTGTGCTTCTCAGCAACTTTCTTTTTTCCATGAATAAACATTCAAACGCCTTATTATTCTTTTTTTGCCCCTTGCCTCTGACATTATTGCTTGTTGGGATATTGCCATTATTTCTTTCTTTCTTTCCTTTTTTTTTCTTTTTGAGACAGAGTCTCACTCTGTTACCCTTGGTAGAGTGCGATAGTGTCATAGCTCACAGCAACCTCAAACTCCTGGACTTACGCGATCTTTTTTTTTTTTTTTTTTTTTTTTTGAGACAGAGCCAAGAGTGCAGTGGCATTACAGCTCACAGCAACCTCCAACCCCTTTTGTCAACAGCCAAGTAGCTGGGACCACAGGCGCCCGCCACAACGCCTGGCTATTTTTTTTGGTTGCAGCCGTCATTGTTGTTTTGGCGGTCCGGGCTGGGGATTCGAACCCGCCACCTTAGGTGTACGTGGCTGGCGCCTTAGCCGGTTGAGCTATAGGCGCCGAGCCGGACTTACGCGATCTTTATGTCTCACCCTCCAGGGTAGGTGGGACTATAGGTGCCTAACACAATGTCCAGCTAGTATTTCTATTACCATTTTATTTTTATATATTTTTTAGAGACAAAGTCTCACTTTATCGCCCTTGGTAGAGTGCTGTGGCATAACACAGCTCATAGCAACCTCTAGCTCTTAGGCTTAGGCGATTCTCTTGCCTCAGCCTCCCAAGTAGCTAGGACCTCAGGTGCCTGCCACAACACCCAGCTATTTTTTTGTTGCAATTTGGCCCGGGGCTGGGTTTGAACCTGGCACCCTCGGTATATGGGGCCAGTGCCCTACTCACTGAGCCACAGGTGCTGCCCGAGTTTTCTTACTTTTAGTGGCAACAGGTTTCACTCTTGCTCAGGCTGGTCTTGAACTCCAGAGCTCAATCCACTTGCCTCATTCTCCCAAGAGTGCTGGGATTATAGGAGCAAGCCAGAGTACCCAGCTTCCCTCCTTTCTTTAATGGGGTGCAGAACAGCCAGTGCATGGCTGTATATTGAGTTGAACTCTCATGGACGTTTAGATGGATTTCAGGGTTTTGCAATTACAAATATTACTGCAGTGAACAGACTTAAACACACATCCATGGGAGACATTTCTGGAAGTACAAATGTCCTGGGAGCCATCCTACAGCTCAGGGTTTTTGTCACTTGTGCCTATTATGGCCCTGTGTAGTGGTGTCCTACCTCATGTCTGTCTTGGATGTCTACTATGCAGGAACTCGGCGTGCAGTCCCTCCTCCAACACTGATGAGACTCCAGCCTCTGCTGCGAAGGCCTCCGTCTTCTCCCCACCTGTCCTACTGAAATTCCATCCTGTGCCCAGACCCAAAGATGACTCAGAGAACGATCCTGGAAGCACAGAGTCTGTGACCCAAAAGAGGAGCCCATAGCCTCTTCCCTACATACCATGGCCTAGGAATTAATAAATTTCCTATGAGGTGCCTTCCTTGTGCTGGGATCCCTGGGAGTTGTGTGATCCCACTGGCTCCCTCTCGCCTGAGGAGGTGGTCAGTGTAGTGTGGCCTACATCTCTGTAGAGTAGGTGGGGTCATGGCAGCACCACTGTAGTCCCCTCGCTAGCACTATACTAGGACCATGCAGTCGTGTGTCCTTTGAAAGAGAAATGGAGTGGGGGAGTGCTGCCCTTCCCTTCCGTGTCGTTGTGGCCACTTTGGGCCTCTCTGGACCCAATTGAGTTGCAAGTCTGGTCTATTTTTCCTACAATGGGCCCCTAAACATGGGTGTAATCTGATGCATGGATTTATTTGGTTTTTTTTTGAGACAGAGCCAAGAGTGCAGTGGCATTACAGCTCACAGCAACCTCCAACCCCTGGGCTCAAGCAAGTTTCCTGCCTCTGCCTCCCAAGTAGCTGGGACCACAGGCACCCGCCACAACGCCTGGCTATTTTTTTGGTTGCAGTTGTCATTGTTATTTGGCGGGTCCAGGCTGGATTCAAACCCGCCAGCTCAGGTGTATGTGGCTGGCGCCTTAGCCGCTTGAGCTGCAGGCGCCGAGCCTGATGCATGGATTTAGAAACAGTGATCTGTTCCTCTCTGGAGGAAAAATTAGCTGGCCTGTCAGTTTCCCAGTTGGCACCTTCCCAAGGAAATTTCAAAGATATGTGACTGTCTCATTATTGCCTCACACGTTGACTTTACAAGCTAACTTGCATGTGAGATGTGGGTCCTCACTGAATGCTGGTACCTACTGGACAGCCACAGACATTCCCTGAGCCCTGGTGTATGTCCCATACTATGCTTGGGTCTGCAGATAATGAGCCAAGTGGTCTCAGTCTGTGCCCTTAAGGAGCTTGCATCCCATCATTCTGTGTGTTAAATCCATACGCAGACCAAATTACTCTAGGATTTTAACTGTGACCCACCCTGTGGGAGATGTGTGGAGTGGGTGGTCAGGGAGGGTCTCTCTGAGGAGGTGAAACTTATGTTGAAACCTGGAAGATGAAAAAGCATCTTATCATGGGATGAGAAAGTGCATGGACTGCTGGGTTTGGGTGACTGTGTGGATGCTGGCACTTTCAGAAGAGTGGGAACTGGGAGTAGTGGGTCGAGGTGTGGGGGTAGAGATAGAAAATTCTGCTTTGACCAGGCATGTTAAACTTTAGATCATAGTTACCCAAATGGAAGTTAGGAGTCTGCAGGGGCGGTGACTTAGGTGAGAGTCATACAAGTGATGTTGACAATCACGATCCTGGGAAAGATCACCCAGGGCCTGAGCCCAGATGGATGCTGTGAGCTCAGACTGGGGCACACCAAGTAATGTACAGATTTGGCCCCAGGGAAAGGTCTGGTAGAAGAGACAGAAGGGAGCAGAGGGAAGTGTCTGGCAGAAGAGACAGAAGGGACCAGGGAGGACTTTGGACCTTCCAGCTAGGTGTCCACCTGCTGCTGGAGGCAATGGGGAAAGAATGGAAAATGAGTCAAAGGTGGAGACTTTAGAGAGGAGGGGAGCTGGGTGGGAGCGGAGGCCGATGAGACTGAATACCAGCAGGGCTTTTAACTTATTTCTGATTACTATGAGGGTACAAAACCTTTAGGTTGTATAATTTGCACATGAAAAGTTAAAAGTCAGGCGGCGCCTGTGGCTCAAAAGGGTAGGGCACTGGTCTCCTATGCTGGTGGTGGTGGGTTCAAACCCAGCCCCAGCCAAAAACTACCAAAAAAAAAAAAAAGTTAAAAGTCAGAGTTGTAGCTGTGTCCTGCGTCCAATGTGCCCTATATCCACGCTACTGGAAACTGCTGAACCTCCCTTCCTCCCCTCTTCTTGAATTTAATTGAAATTTTCTGTGGCTAGGGTCTGTGATTCTTCATCTAGTTTCAAACTGGTATCGAGTACTTTGTTCTCCAGGAGATTTTGTGACAGAGTCTCACTATGTCGTCCTTGGTAGAGTGACAGCTCACAGCAACCTCAAAATCTTGGGCTTAAGCGATTCTCTTGCCTCAGCCTCCCAAGTAGCTGGGACTACAGGCACCTGCCACAACGCCCGGCGTTTTTGGTTGCAGTTTTCGTTGTTTAGCTGGCCCCGGCCGAGCTTGAACCTGCCACCCTCGGTGCATATGGCTGGCGCCGTGCTATGGGCACCGAGCCACCATGAGGACTTTTTAAAGACGCAAGAATCCAGCGCGGGCAAGGTACAGAGCCGCGGCTGGGCAGGTAAACCAGATGGTCCAAAGACAGGTCTCTAGAGGAGACGGAGCTTGGCCGCAGAGACCGAGCATGCGTGCTCAGTCAGCCCGGCCGGACTCTCTCAGAGCATGCGCACTTAGTCCAGGGAAGCCGTTCTCGGCTCTCCAGCGTCCACTTCCGGGGCGGACCGCGGAACCCGGAAGTAGTCGGAGACTAGGACGTGGCGCCGGGGTCTGAGTTGTCTGTGGTCGCGTTTCAGGGCTCACTGGTCCGGCTGCCGCCACCATGGGAAAGCGACAACACCAGAAGGACAAGATGTAAGTTGAACCGCAGCTGGGAGCGGTGCCCCGCTCTACGCCAGTCCCCGTTTGTCCCGCACTTCGTGCGGCTCCTTTTCCCTCTCAGGCCCCAGAGCGGGTCCCAAATGTCACTTTCTCCCGGAAGCCCCGCCCCTGTCCTGGCAGGGTAATGACCGCCCCCCGCGCCGGGCCGCCGCGGTCTCCGGGGAGCCGCACCCCCCCAGCTGCAATCTCCGAGTGTGGCTCTTCCCGGACTGCCCCGGGAATCAGCATTCTGAATCAGCATTCTTAATCAGCATTCTTTCCTTCTACGTCCCTCGTCTCCCCGTGTGCAGGCTCACGCCTGCCAGCCTGCAACCGTGCTGAAGAGTCTGACAATTTAAAGCATGCCAGCCGCGCCTCTCTGTGTTTATTTATTTATTTTTGAGACAAGGTCTCACTCTGTGGCACACTGGCTAGAGTGCCACCGTGTTTCTGTGATTCTCATCACAACAAGTGAAACACCTGTGACTGCTTGCTGTTTTCTGCTGCCGCTCTTTCTAGTTCCCCTGTACACAGCAGCCAGATTGATGCTTTGAGACTTAAGGTTCAGTTACTTCAGGGCTCTTATCAGAATCTTAGCAAATCCGGAGTCTTCACCGTGCCCAGTGAGACCCTGTGATCTGGCCACTGCATGTGTCTTCGTCTTTATCTGCCACAAGTCTTGTGCACATACTTCCCCCGTGACAGCCCCCTTATTCTGGAACACACCCAGCATTTCCTGCCTCAGAGCTTTGTTCAGTGCTATGGTGCTGTTCCCTCTGCCTGGAAAGCTCTCCCCAGATCTTCACATGGCCAACTGCTTCCCATTGTTGGGTCTTCTGATAAGTTCAGTTTCTTTCCTTGAGAGCAAAGGAGAATTGTACATATTTGTTTACCATTGTGTGTATCCCCATGTCTGTTGTGTTTATCGCTGTGTGCCTGAAACATAGAAGATGTTTCATAAGCATTTGCTGAATGAGTGAAGATTACATCATTGGTTACTCACTTCTGAAGACTTAAGTCTTTTTTTATGAAGGGGGTAGTAGTAGCATTCTGTCTCCCTCTTTCTCCTCCAGGTATATTACCTGCGCTGAATACACTCACTTCTATGGTGGCAAGAAGCCAGGTAAGGCATGAAATCCTTCTCTTTCCCCCTTGGGTGAGAGGCATTAAGGAATGATGTCTTCATTAAACAGTGAGCTATAAAAATGGACAATTAACAAAAAAACGAAGGGCTGGATGCAGTGGCTCATGCTTGTAATCCTAGCACTCTGGGGGGCTGAGGCAAGAGGATTGCTTGAGTTCAGGAGTTGGAGACCATCCTGAATAAGAGTGAGACCCAGTCTAGTCTCTACTCAAAATAGAAAAACTAGCTGGGTGTAGTGGCAGGTGCCTGTGTTCCTAGCTACTCAGGAGGCTGAAGCAAGAGGATGGCTCAAGCTCAAGAGTTTGAGATTGCTGTGAGCTATGATGCTATGGTCCTGTACCCAGGGTGACAGAGTGAGAGCCTGTCTCAAAAAAATAAAAAACAGAAAAAACCCCAGACCCTGTGGAGACAGATGGGCCAAAGACATAGTTCACAATAAAAGATACATAGTCGGCTCGGCGCCTGTGGATCAAGCGGCTAAGGCGCCAGCCACATACACCTAAGGTGGCGGGTTCGAATCCCCAGCCCGGGCCCG